CATTATTACTTAATTATTTAACTACTACTTAACACAGTTTTCTGCGATTTTATAATTATATATAAAAAATAAGAATGTAAATTAAAAATTATCATCGTTAAAAGTAATTACTAAAAAACTAGAATATTTTAGTTACATTATAAGTGTATCTTTTACAAATTATTGGCTCATGTCACACACTATACTTAATACGATCTATCATTATACTTCTGTTTCTCCTACTGACTCTTACTGACTAATAGACGAACAGGTTTATAATCTCCATTACATATTTACTACTAGTATATTTTTTAAATAATATAAAATCGCAAAAGAAAGGATAGAAATAATTATTTTGATTAGACATTTTCAACAACTTAATATTTTTCTAGAAAAATAAAAAAATTTTAAACATACGTATATTTCTAAAATTCAATTTTCTTTTATTTTATAGAAACGTAATGTAATATTTTATATTATTACGAACAAATATAAAAATATATCAATATATTTTACTACATACTTCGCTGTAACATTTTTATAGGAGCTCTATAATTAGTCAATTATCATTAATTTGTACAATTTATTGATATTAATATGATTAAAATTAATTTAAATGAATCTTGTTTAGTAAAAATTTTATTATAGACTATGGTTATAAAACTGTATAAAAATGTTGTTGTTATATATAATACTATAATATTTTTTATATATAATATTTATAATACATTATAATATATTATACTATAATATGTGTTATATATAATAATATAATATAATTTTATATCTTATTATAAATTTGAAAAGCAATATAATCAATTTTATTCGAATATAATTTCACAAATGCAGACAGAAGCTCGGAATACTAAAGGAAAGAGCGTTGAGTAAACTGAATGTTAGTTCTGTATTGTTAGATCATGAAAAACGGCAAGTTCACATTCAAACTCGCGTTCACCTTGTGCTACAAGCACCGTAAGACTTGATTACTGCAGCCAGAAGCTATCGCTGATTAAACATCAGTTTTATGGCATTTTATATTCCTTTGCCAAAAAGAGCCTTCTATCTCTCCTCCATCTCCACTACTATTATGGCTGAACCTCTACGCGTACGTCTCTTCACTGCACACAACCGCTTGCGTGAGCTCTTGAAATTATTCGGACAATCAACATACACAAGACCTATATTACACCTAACATTACTCCCGTATAGTTACCGTTTCTGTGGATACATATGATTTTCACAAACGTAAAAAAATATTTCGTTAGAATAGACCTGGTGGCAAAACTCATGGTCGACTCTTGGCTTGGTTTTCATAGTTTAAACTAGCATTAGCATAAGCGAATATAAATACTTATCAGATAGCTTTTTTCGCTCAAAAATACACATGTGAGTCTTGTAGACGAATTGATGAATGTATCAATATACTTATCTCATTGTCTTATGACAAGAAGGATTTCCAAGTATGACAACAATGAAATCCATATGTTTATAGCCTTGTAAAAATTTTTAATTCTTATGAAATTAGTGGTGCATTATTTTCCCCTTTTAATACTTGCCTTTTGTCGTTTGAAAGTGATTAGTCAAAATTACGCCATTCCTCTCTTTCTATTTTTTCGTTAATTGTCTAACACTCCACTCAAGTTATACAAAAAATAAGATGATTTATACCACTTATGCCTCGTATGGATTAATTTACTTCAATGAAAATGTTAGAAAGAAATTTGTAAGATGTTAATAGTTAAGAATGATAGAGGACACGCGTGAAAAAATAGTTTTCAAATTATTCTAATAGAAACATAAAAGCAGTGGATTTTTTACAATTAATTACTTTTCCATATCGACTTAATATAATTTAGCAATAGACGCTATCTTACATCATTTCCACCAGCTAATCTGCCAAAAATGGCATGAATTCAAATGCTTAATCTAGAATTATACAAAAGAAAATTTTCGACCTTTTTCTTCTGTTCTCATTAACTTGTCATATAAATATCTACCAACACTTTGAAAAAATGGTAATACCAGAAAAAAAATTATGCTTAATATCAATGCTGCTTTCATCACTTTAATTAGATTCCCCAGTAAAATAATAATAATATCTATATTTTAATAAATATTAAGTAACTCCGCATATGTAAATTAAAGTATATAATTATTTATAATGTAAATATAAAACATCAAATTATATGTATATATATATATATATATATATATATATAATACATAGCGAAGTTATAGAATTTTGTTTAAATTATATAAGAATTATATGCTCCAAAAGATTTGATATGCATCTTGTTAAGATGATGCTTAAATGATGATCCTTAATTGAATGATGAAAATAATTGATGTAATTATATACATAGGCTTAATCAAAATTATACGTATAATTTTTATAATTTATATTAATTATTTTATTACTATTATATAGGAAAAATGCATACAACAAAAATTTGGACTAATTATAATTATATTTATAGTTTAATAAAATAAAGACCTAATATATTTCACTATTCTTAAATATTAGCTAATAACGTTCACGTATAGAAAGAAACAAGATTCAAGAATAAAAGAATATGTAATAAAAATGACTAAAACAGTGCTTTATTAATTGAAATAATTGCTAATAATAGAATACTACAAACTGCTTTAAGATTTTACACATTTTCCTTTCAGAAACATGAAGAGAGTATCAATATAGGGTACAATTATTTGAATATATATATATATATATATATATATATATATATATGTCAAAACTATATATTTTTCATTCAATACACACTTATTATTTCATACATATTTAATATTGATATATCAAAACGTTATAAAAGAATTAATGGACAAATATTTTCTTCTCTTATCATATGATATAATTCAATATATAAGATTAATATTATTTAAGTAGAACATCATTTTACTGGTATTAAATACTAATATGATATTAAAATTATATGAAGCATTAACAAAGAGCTACGAGGTACATACAAAGCATTTTTTTTAACTAAATTTGCATTTAATCAATACCTATTATTTCACATTTGTTTATTTTATTACATTATATTTCAAAAATATAATAAATAAAGAGCTCCATGTAAATATAATACACACACACATATATATCGAAAATTATTTATTTCTAATATTAGACTTCTATTATTTAAAATTAATCATCTATTATTACAGAGCCAGCAAACTATGACATAAAATCAATTAATTGATTTAATTTTCTTAATTTTTTTAGTTTATATACAAGAGAATATTAAATTGAAAACAAAAATTCAAATATTAATTTTAATAATGATTTTAATATTGATAATTAGAAAATCATTTACATTTTGTATTCTGAATTATATACACTACTTATCATATGAGAGTGTTCGCTGAATATTAATTACGATTGGCTATTTAATTACACGTCATGAGAAATACATTCGAAATTTATTGTTTGATAAAATCATTAAAATTATTAAGTGAATTGTTTCATACACAGACAAAGAATATGTTTACTTGATTAATAGTATATATAATTGATAATATATTTCCAAAGTTTTAATACCTTTTTGAAATTATTTTGTACAATTGAAAGTAAAAAATAGACCAACATAATAAAGTATAAATTGAATCATTTTCAATTTTAATTTATAATTAAATTTTCTCATTTTTTTTTAAATTTATATATATGGTAGTACGAAAATCAAATGATAAAATAATACAAATCGAATTGAATTTTCTGTGGCATTAAAAACTTTGAAATGAAATAAAATATTGGAAAAATTATTTGATTAAACAAGTATTAATATAAAAATGAAGCAAAACTTTTATATTCTTACTAAAATATTTATGATAATATATTTTTGCCACTCACTTATTAACAATTAATGATATAAATACACCTCAACTAAAAACAGTTTTCAATATTTTATTATGAAGAAAAATTACAGGCTTCGTAATTTCTGACAATTTGGAATTTCTAAAACGAAGTATTTAAATAGTTTGTATTAAATAATATTTGATTATTTTGTGACAATTTATTGAATAAGATTTTGATGAAAATCAAATATTTAATTTATTATAAATAAGAACTTCGAAGGTTCTACTCTTTTTTTCATTTTAAATTAATAATATTGAAATCAGTTTGCCTCGATAATCAAATGAAAAGTATTTTGAAAAGATTAAATAGAATAAATGATTTGGTAATCAAGATATAATATTATTGCAATCAACGCCGAGATTTATGTAGTTAATCATTTTCAATTGAAATGCTCTACTGCTTAGTTACATTTCAGTCTACTTTAAATTTAAAAATAAACCTTCATTGATTCTATATTCATTTCTAATTTAATTTAATTTTTTCTCATTTTTAATTACTTCTAATCGATGGATAATTATATTTTAAGAAATGACATTGCGGTGTAAAGATTTCATTCTTCATCTTTCTAAAATCAATTGACTCTGATAAGTAGTATTATATTTATTATTTTAGTGTTTATATGCGTTTATTTTTGGATTATGGGATTTAATTTCTCAAATATAAAATATTAGATATTAAAATATTAAAATTATATTTAAAATTTGCCATCCTATCTTTTATGAAATTTACTTAAACCAATTTTTCTTCAATTTAGTCCAATAAATTTATAATTATTTATGTTAAGAAAGTATATTAAACTTCTGTTTAACTAAAAGATTACAATCAACTTCATGAAATCTATCGAAAGAAGTAATATTTCAAGTAAAAGAAACATAAATTAATTTTAATTAATTTCGAAAGTCGTTATATATAACATCATTTGTATATTTCATAGAAAACTCTGAAAAGACAAGATACAAGAGAAGAGAATCCTTATGCAATAATAAGTGATAGGAGCATGAATATTCACATAATATTCTGAGTGCTGCATAGCGGCATCGATCACTCGGACGTTATGTCGATATAATACGGACGTTGGCCAAGGCTAGGATCAGATCGCCAGTTAAGAGCAAGAATAGCAGATTTAATGGGATAATGATTGTGTTCGCAGGTCACAATGCAGGTATGGGTCTCTCACCACTGATCGGTGTGCTAGCAGGTACTCTAGTCACTCTCGGACTCATCGTGCTAGTGCTGGTCGTGCGGGCGAGGCGCGAGCGCGTGACCTCAAAGCCACGCCACGAAAAGTCAGCGGAACTAAGTGATCTGCCCGTCCAACAATATCCCCTTCAGAATATCGAGCAGACGGTTGAGATCGATCCTGACGTCATTCCCAACAAGTTTGGTAAGTTATTTCAAGTGCGCGTGTTGGTGAGGGGCTGGCGTTGAGCGGCGCTTGGGAAAGAGCCGGAGGAAACGGAGATACTTCCCAATACCGCATACTTGTCAGTTTAAGATTCGCGCTTCACCATCCCATACCTCGCTTTTCTTGCTTCGTCCCTAAGGACGTCATTTTTTTCTACCAGCAGCGTTATTCTCAAAATTGATCAATATCCGACCATCGAGCACTTGACGCCTTCGTCTATTATTTTTATGGATGTTCGAGCAGAGAATAATGATGGCGCTTGACGATTTATAGGCAATCATTCGATTGAATGAGGCGGGTGCTCTAGGAATTTATGATTTTTGATTATGAATAATAACATGATAATTCACTTAACTTTTATATTTTAAAAAAATAATAAACGCATGAAAAAAATCATTTCATATGTTGTACAAAGTATTCGCTCCGATAAATTTTTTTTTTTTAAAGTAATTAAAATTGTTAATTACATTTTTAATGCCAAATTTTGAGATATTAAATTATAAAGAAGCTTCATTAAAATGACTTGTATTCAAAAATTAGAAAATCCTTAAACTTAACTATTGCAATCGCAATTAAATTTATAAATTTATTGAAGAATATTTGTACTAATAAAATTCAAACATCCTATTAAATAATAGCTTATATTCTGAAAATATCATTAACAACAAATACTATGCAATTTTTATTATATATTTAATTAATATAAAACCGTCAAAATTTAATAGGAATTTTGTAAATTTTTATAAAATAATAAAATTCTATCATATAAGCCACTGTATAATTGCCTAATGCTATTATTAATCACTTTAAATACAATAATGTCCATTGTCGATTATTAACCATAATTTTACAATAGTATTACTAAAAAATTATTTGATAATATTTTATTTTGACATAATTAGTGCTTTCCATTAATCGAATGCTAAATACGTAAATAATTTTAGCCGTCATTCTTTTTGCCATTAATATTTATTTTAAGAAGGCATAATAATAGTAATTTTACATCTATTTCACCATTATCTCTACAATTTCTCTGAGCAACATAATTATAATTTATAAGACTCGTGATGTCAATTACTATATCAGTTATTTGTTGTTTGCTCTTGCTATGATGAGCTGTGAACATTGCAATGAGCAATCTAAGTTCTATTCCACTCTTACATTATTTTGCCTTGCCATAACCACTTATGATTGCGCCACAATAATACTTTTGTGAAGTACTACACTCTATACTCCACATAAAGACTATTCAGTTGCTATTCAGTGCCTATTCAGTTAAATATTACGAGATATTCATAATCGACATCTAAGATACTTGCTTGATCAAGACTTCACATTGAAGCTTACGATATGTATTATATTCAATAAGCACAAAGAGTGATGAAGTATACTTTATTATACCCAAAGGTAAAAGTGCTGATTTGGCTCTGCAGCATCATTCCGAACAGCAAGAGAGGAAGGATGCTTCTTTAATATTTATCGCTTATGCGATTATCATGTTATGAGTACCATATAAAAATTTTCATTCTACTCCAATTCTCCCTTTATGAAATCGTTATCTATTGTCCGAATTATTATGCTGAGCAATACCTTTTATAATTATCGAACGATGTCACATTTATATTTTATCCTATATACGCAATAGTTATGATCAAAAAATGGTTCAATGATTTATTGTTCTGATTTATCAAGCGATTGAAAATGGGGTCGAATGATATAAAGCACAGATCTTAAAATATTTTTACATAATACCACATTATATAATGATATTTCTTCTCTTTTTATCCTTTTTAACATTGGAATTGATTTCAACTGTAATAATATGTATTAAAATAAAATTTTTTTAAAAATCTTCTTATATTTTGATGAGAATACTACCTTCAAATTATTTACTATTTCAATTTTTATTTTTATACATCAATTTTAATAAAAAAAAGATAAATATTATTAATACATTAAATCGTTAAGCAATGCAAATATACAACTAATATAATACATTTAATTGCAATAAAATTATTTTTTTTAATATTTATTAAATGATAAATTAATTTAAATTAATTTTAATATTTAAATATATTTTAATAGAATTCGAAATAAACACTAATATTAGTTTTTCGGTTTTACTTTGAAATAAACTTGTTTTTTAATAGAATGTTAAACATACTTTATAATTAATGCTTTTAATACTTACTCAGAATTTAATACTTATTTAAAATACTTATAAAAAACAAAATTCTACATTTTTTAAATAATTCTTTTTGAAACTCTTATACTTCGATACTCTTATTCTTGGTTTTGTTATTATATATTTTATTTTTCTTATTATGCGTATGCATGAAACCACCAGAATAACTCTGTACAGAAGACAATAATTGGTAGTTTCCTTACGTATTTTTACTTTCATTCATATTTTATGAGCTGTATCTCGAGAGAAAAACGTGCGCAATTCTTACGATAAGCTAAAAAGATAGCAAATTATATGCTAAACAAGCGTCGTCCCTGTGTGTGACCTAAGATAACTTAAATTCAAAAGATTACCGTATGAATAAATTTCGAATTTTTAAGAATCAATACAAGTCTGTAATGACATTTCCACTATAATTAAAATATTCGTTTTTCTAAATAGTTCCTGGACAAAAAGAATGTATTAATAATAAGTTGGAAAAATATTTTTACTGTAAAAATACTTGGGATACATCCAGAACAAATAATCTTTATTTTTGATCTAATTAATATATATAAGATAACTTCTTCAGCAACTGAAATGATAAATGAAACAGAAAAGTATAGTACAAAGTCACTTATCATCGTTTGATTCCACCCACAGTAATGAACATAACTTCTTGAGTATAAATCTCTCGAACCATATGAAACGGATATTCATGTAAAAAGATGCTTAAAACTAACATTATTTTCTTTTCTCAGAAGGAAATTTAATAGAGGTGAGTCCCCCAAGTTATCCAGGTGGATACCTGCCGAGTCAGTGGGTAACACCCGGGCCGACGCCAAGCATCGACGAGCTCTGCCACAAGTTCGCGGGCCGGCCAACGGAGCTGAGGCTGTCGACGACGAGGGGCTGTGCCACGGGTTTGAACCTTGCCGGAATCCAGGGCCACCCAGTAGCCGTGACGAACTCGGGGGTCGTTGTCGGCGGAGGGCCATGCGTTGTTGTCGCGGGTGAATGTCTGGATGGGGAGGCGATAAAACGCCGATTGATGGCTAACAGACTACCAGAGAGCTGCGTTTAAAGTCCAGTTACGCGAGTGAATATTCCTTACATATACTTTGAAAATTTATGTTTTTTAATATACAAAAGACGATGAAATTGAGACTCAATTAAAAATTCAAGATGCGATACCCGTGTTCTTATATAAATATATGATAATGTGTATAAAATTGAAAGACAGTGGTTGTGTTTTCTCTCATTTTTGTTCTTCGTTCCGATTGAACTAGTCTCGGCTACGACTGACGAGTAAAGAAAAAAATGTTCCGAGAAAATTCCGTACACCCAAGGTGTTAAATGCCGATACTTAAGGATGAATAGTAAGCACCTGCCTTGTCTTACTTGTATGTATACACGTACTATAAAATTTGCGTGTAACAACGGAATGAGAATACTGACAAGTTTGTGTATGAGAAATATCAAGGAGCCGCTTTCATATAGAGAGCATGGGAATACTATGATTACAAATACTGGCATGTCGATACTTTGATACTTTGAAAAATAAGAGTGTATCGGCATGATTACTTTTTTATTGTTACGTTAAAGCCATACTGTAGTATCTCTTATAGTATCCAAGTATCAACTGTTGCTGGCCTTACAAATTATAAAGATTAGACGTAATACATTTTCCAAATATATTTTTTAAATCAAGCTAATATTTAAAATATTTTAAATTGATGATCTATTTAGCTCATTTCATTACAATAATTAAAGTAATAAAAATAAAAAATTTTGACACTATAATACTTTTGTAAGTATATGGAATTGCCAAGTAACACATCTATACTTTTTTTCTTAATATTACAGTTAAAATTCAATTTCTTTAATTCATTTTTTTTCAGAAAACGGATTACTTTATTCATAGCAAAAGTTATCATCACAATATAATGAACTTAATAATTAAATAATTAAAATCAATATTTTTATCTTTAAATTTTTAAAAATTGTTTATAGTTATTGCAGCTCTAATATTATTAATTATTTTATTAATTACTTTAATATATAAGAATCTGTAAAGTAGTTAAAGTTTCAATTAAACCTATATAGTAAAAATTATGAATTTTTAAATTAACTGTTTTGTTTAATATTATAGATTTATTCCTTAAATTATATTTCATTTATCATTAAATGTACCTTATACAATTAGTACAAATAAATTTTACTTATAATACAGTTAAATGTTTTTAATAAAAGGTATTATACACAACTTTTTAATTTACATCAAAAATCTTACATAGATACTTTTTCGTTTATTTCATAGAATTACGAATTCCTAATATTAAAATAATCCAGAAATATCTATGAAGCTTATTAAATCAGTTTTTAAGAAATATAAAATTTGACTGCCATATTTATGCAATTTTATTTTACTCAATAATGTTTCTATTAAAAATCCATTCAAAATCATTTAAAAAATCCTCCTATAAAATATATATGTAAAATATCTTCAATTCACAATTTTTGCTGCAGTATTTTATTTTAAAAATCTAACAGATCGTAGTAAATACACACGTATTAATATGCAAATAATAACCAGTTGAAATTTCTTTAAATTTGCGATTTTACTCATATAAAACTTTATTATTTTATATTTCTTTATTCATATTTTTTAAATTTAATTAATCATAAACCATAAATAGTGTATTTACTTGGAAAGCAAAACCACTCACTCACATTTGTTGTTTACTAGAAAAAATTAGTTTTGAAATTGTTTCGTTTATGAACGCATATCTTACGTACAATAGTTTTAAATAATGAATCGATTAATTATATAAAAATCCATAACCAATGAATTACATAAGAATAACTGTAGTAAACTTCTATATAATATACACACACATACACATAGAGCCACATGACTCAATCATACATTTTTTTATTAAACAAAATATAACTAAATTTATTTCTTATATAATAGAATAAAAAATAATACCCCATTATGAATATTCAATATTATTCATTGATTATCAAACTTGTAATTTTAACTTATCCAACATTATGTGCTCGGAATGTTTGAACTTTGACTAAAAATGATTGAAATTTACAATTTTCAATCGTTTATTTCTAAAAGAATTTTTTTATAAATTCTTTATCGAATCGGAATATATTCTGAAATATATTGTACTAATGTTCTTCATTTCTCATATTATGTTAAATACCCGTCAAGATATATTTATTTTCATATATTTCTTTTAAATAAGCATAAATGAAATACAAAATTGTTATGTCTGCCAATAATTGTATTTATATTGTTCCTTTATTTAGTAAATTTCATTCTTTTACTTATCCATTATATCAGCATCGTATATTAATATTTGTACTGAATTGATTCTTGATTTTTACATTTCCAACTTTTAAAATTTTAATTTGATTTGGCTAATAGTATTTCGTTCTCTTAAACATATAATGTTTAACTATGGAATATAAATGCAGACACATGTAAAATCTAATTTAGTGAATAGCATATAACTGTAAGTTGGATTATGTATTTCTCTCCAATCTTGTACGACTTGACTCGAATTTTATTCGGGTTATTGTATTATAATATATGAATATATGAACATCACAAAATTTTCTTTACTATTTAAGAGAATTTAAGAGAATAATCATTTATATGTTAATAATCATTATGTAATTTATTTATTTAGAATTTACATTCCATAACTTTATATAGTTTAATTAGTTTTTAAGGGTAATTCTCTAAGTATTGTTTTCAATTTTATGTCTAACACAGATTTACAATCAACTAGATTTATGATCTTCATTGATTGAATCACTTACGCATTGAAATAGCTTAATATGTACAAACTCTATGAATTAATAATGTTTTATAGAAAATTATTTCTCCTTTTAATCACCTTTTGATATTTGTTTCGTGGTATATTTAATATTTCAAACTAATATCTTTTCATTATATATTATGTTTGCATTATTTAATAATATATACATAATTGATAAAATAAAGTATCTACGTGAGACTAATAAAGTAATAAACAATAAGTCTCTGATTTGAGAATTCAATTATATTAAAAACTTTAGCTAAATTCGCAAAATATAGTATCATCGATATTAAAATTAAATTTATTTAACTTTATAAAGGTGGTTTATTAAATAAACATAATCCATGACTGATGATTCTAATTTGATTTCAAAATTTAGAAAATATTGCTCATGATATTAAAATACCAAACAACAATGATTTCTTATATGATTCAATTATTGCAACATATTATTATATTATAACATATTATGAATATATTAATATTTTTTATGATTTACAATAAAAAGTTCTCTTACTTATAAAATATATTTCAATACTTTATATATCTTTTATATATTTTTAGATTTTGCAAAGTAAAAGAAAATCCTTATTTATGGAAAACTTTGAAAACTTTCCTTCTCCCCCACTCCCCACTCAATCACTCTCTCTCTCTCTCTCTCTCTCTCTCTCTCTCTCTCTATTTTTCTCTTTCACTCAAAGAGAGACTGACATTGGAAAATTATAAACATCAAATTCCCAAGAATTTGCATCATGTTCAAGAGATCAATATGAATTAATTAAATAAAAAGTCGCGTGAAAGCTACAGTTCAATTCATTGATCGAGAAATTTGTAGCCCTCATTTGATATCAATGCTGTTGTAGCCAATTGTGTATATGAATGCGTATATATACACGTATATTCCGCCTGTGACGGTGATTATGCATGCACGATTATACCTATACTAGCGGTCGTATGTGTTCATATAAATATTTCTGTTGGAATTTTTCTACGTGAACGTCCACATAGTACATTAACTCTGCTTTGAAACTACACCGTTACACGACTGATACACTGTTTAACATTTACCGGTGTAAATGATATTTTGAGTTTATTTTAAACTCACAATAAAAGTTATAGAAAAAATTACTAATTTTTAATTATGAAAATCTCCAGCAAAAAAAAATTATTATTACAACTAAAGCAATTTAATTAGCATGTCTTACTTTAATATTATTGAGAATGAAATTATAATTTTGTTTGCTTTTTCTATATTATGAAATGTGCAGCTGGCAAATTAGGATAATGAGCATTCATTTATAAATATTCTAATTTTTGTCAATTTGAAAAAATGTACTGTAAAAATTGTTTACATAGATTAGGTTTAATTTTTATTTAAGTTAATTTTTAAAAAAGTTAAAAATAATTTTTAAAAAAGATTTTATAATTATTGATTGATTTATTTATCCAAAACACAAATAATATTTATTTATATAGTTAGTATGCAAAATTGATTGTAAATAATAACATAAACCAATAAATTGAACTAATTTCAACAAACTTATTTTTAAAATATTCAAATTTATAATTAAATAAAAAGGAAATAAAAAAAAGTAATAATTAATAATTAATTCTAAACTATTAAGAGCACATATTTAAGCATAAATTTGTAAACATTAACAAGAACATAAATTTATAAAACATGTAAATAAATTGTCAGTCATTCATTTTGAGCCTATTAAATTATTAACTAATAATTTATTCGTATAAATGATTATGATAAACACAGAATTGGATAATAAATTATTGAATTTATGAATTTCATTAAAAAAGTAAAACTGATAAATTCAATAAATTCTGTAGTATATACGTTAAATTACAGACAGAATTATAACTTTTAACGTATTAAATTCATATAGTATATGTACATACGATAAAAATGAATTACAAAATAATTACTAAAATCGAAAATGTTTTTAAAATATGTATATTTTGATATGTATAAACATGTCAAGTTCTATCATTCCATTTAATATTACTAATTGGTTAGTTTTCCAAATTATTTTATTTTCAAATATGTAAAACCTAGATATTTACATCACATTTTCTTACACTCATCTAAAAATGAATATATTCAAGATTGAATATTATTTAATACAGAGAACAGTATTCAAAATATTTCAGTTATTTTGATATCACAATAAAAAAAGATCATAATTTGATTTATATATTTATTTTATTTATTTGTTTGTTTGTTTATTTATATATTTATGTGTTTATTTATGTATTTATGTATATTGTGTCAATTATAAAATATAAAAAGGTAGTATTATATATATATA